TTTTTTTTTTTTTTTCATGGAAATGTCCAGGATTTTTGTAGCATTATATATATCTTTCTGGTAATTTTCTTTTTACATTTTTCAAGTAAAATCACAATTCAATCCTCATGATATTTCACTGTTTTTCCTTGTATTGCTTCATCTTTTTTCTGGTAATAATTTTTTCTTGTAAAGTTCCTTTTTTTGACATCATAGTTTTCACACTATTGGCAAAGGGTGTTATGACTTATTTCAACTTTGAGTGACGTTGAATTCTCAGAATATATATTTTAATTCTAGCTCAACTTTATGTATAGAATTTCATAAAATTACAACTTTCTTCTCATCACGACTTGATTCACGTACAATAATGACTCCACTTTCATATTAAAATGGATCAAATGTAAACTTTTTTTCCTGAGTGTTTCTATTATTGTAATATATCTACTCTTTTCACTTTCACATTCAGTAACTTTCCTTTTTTTTGAGGGGGGGGGGTTGTTATGAAACATCGCAACTTGATGAACCCAACACTGCAATTTTATTATTGTGACATTTCAACTTTTGCTAACATCACAACATTCCCGCTGCTAAGCTAAGCGGCTACACGTTAGCATTATTACCAGAAATGTGAAGTTTGGCATATCTGAAGACAATACTTTCATTTGTAAGTAGCATTTCAAGATTTCTTTTCACTCCTTTGCAGTGACGCTGCCTCAATGCGTACTTAAGACATCATAAAGCATGTGGCCCCTCAAGATGGGCGGTAATGTTGTGAATTTAACACAACTAAAGACAGGAGTGGCGTTTTTATCCGGTGTTGAGATCTCATGTACTTTTTTTTTTTTTTTTAACACACAAGAATGCTATAATTCTCAATTATCCCAGTGGGATACAGTTGGCCAAGTAGCCTTGAGTCCGTTTCCCCTGGTTTCCATTTTTGTTTCTCGCCGCTTATCTGCTCCCTTGTTAAAACTTCTCTCATATACAATATATATCATTTGTTTTCTTGGATTTCTTTCAACATAACCACATTTCTGCATCGCTTCAAACCAGCATGGCTCGTCAACAATAGACTGCGAGCTTTTTTAATTGCTTTTAAAAAAAGATAGCATGGAGGTATTTAAATGTTGGAGGAATAAATAAGATCAATAAAAAAAAATTAAGGTTCAATATCCTGGAAGGTGATGAAATATTGGTGACTTATTTGCGATTTTTATGAACTGAAAGGACAAACAAGTGCAATTTTGTAAGCGTGTTGTCATCGTTAGCATAAGTAGCATCCCACAGGAAAAAAATGAAAATTCACTCAACAAGAGTAACAAAGCATCCATCACAGTGTTTTGTATCAATGCCCATCTACAGAGCACGCAAAAACGGCCTGCCTTGGCCTCAAAACACATGTTCTTATGAGATGGAAAATTTGATTGGACACTTTTTTTTGGGGGGGGGTGAAATTTGATTTTTTTCGTTATCTGAAATCAAGACTTTTTCATCTATGTTGTACTGTATCGTCTCTCATGTTGTTAAGTAAAATATAAAATCTCTTAATCTTTAAATGTCTTTCTCTTATTATTATACCTTCAGACATTAAAATTTGATTTTTTTTTTTTCTTGTACATTTTTTTTTTGTAATCTATGAGCATTTCGTGACGATGTACAAGTTTCCCAGCCATGATGAGCTAAGTCGTTTTCATTTGTGGAAGCTGAAATATTGTCGCCAATGACGTCAGTGCAATAATTTTTCACCTACACAATAAGATTCTCCCGGGTGTAAATACCGAAATGTCACTTTGACGCATGTTAGCATTATCATTCGTCTCTTCGCGTTGAACTGACAAAGGAACCCAGCCTGCCGTAAACTTACGCGAGGATGTTCAAAGATAAAACAAAAGTGTATCTAAAATAGCAAAAAATAAAATAAAATAATTCGGGACCAAGGCAAAACCAGATAATGCGAAACAAGGCACTTAGATTTTGACGAAAATAATGCGGGGTGGGGTTCGATCTTTAGCCAGCAGCATTTCCTGTCCAACCTGAAAACATTCCGGCTATGGCCTCTCGATGATCTAAATCTATATACCAAATCTCTACAAAATAGATTCATATATACTGTACAGCTATAGACTGAAAATATCCCTCAGTAGATAAATAAACGCCTTGGCTTCTCTCTGGTTCACATTCAGCGTCCGGTCAGTGGGGTCCAACAAGGCGTTCCTTTTGATCCCCTCCCGTTTTTGTTGTTCTTAAAGCATTAACCAAGCTAGCCGGTGGCTTGTTAGCTCATGCGGCTTAGCGCGTTAGCATCCCTGCTAGGTTACTATGCGGCTGGCTTCTGCGGGAAAGCGCAGTGGTGGAGGCCGTCGCCGCCGCGGGGTGGAGGTAACGTACGGAGGCGGGCGGCGGGGCGCTTGAGCGCTCGCCCTGGCTGAGGTTCCGTTTGCGCTCGCGCACTAGCGCCCTCTGGTGGCGCTTCATGCGCTCCAGTTGCTCCTCGGCGCTCATTCGGCCACCGCGCTGGGGAGGAGGCGTGCCGCTCGGGTACTCGGAGGACAAACACTCCAAGGCACTCTTAGGTCGCTCCTACAGGGAGACACACATGATGATGACAATGTCCCTTTTGTCATTTTTAGTTTCATTTTTGTACTTTCTATCCAAGTAAGTTCTCCAGAGAACAAAAGCGCTGTGATGGAGTTGAGTAGACGTCACAATTTACCCTGTCCACGGCGGTGTCGGGGCCTCTCCTCAGCGTGACGAAGGACGATATGGCACTCGACTGGTTCTGCCATGATGTGCCCGACAGACCTGCTCAGGTGGCATGAGATGATAAAAAAAAAAAAAAAAAAATGGAAGCTGATGGCAGCATTGACAAAGTTGCCAGTACACAAGCTAGTGTTACATTACAATACCTTTGTGGTCAAGATACTGATAATCCGCATCGTTGTTGTGGTGAGTTATGGCCAGCAGCTCGGGTTCACTCAGGAAAGAACGCAAGTCAGTCTGCAAGCACACAAACTTGGAAGTTGGAGTGGTTTGAAGTGGTCATGAAATGTGAAAGGATGTGGTCAATATGTAAATATTTCTTTACTGGGGGACGATATAGGACCGCACTCTTCCCAACTAGATCTGTAACAAACATTTTAAATATGCAAAGAATCCATGCTTATGTGCAAAATATGTGCTAATATATTTCATTTTTGATAATACTTTTCACAATGCATGTATAAAAGATTCACTATCCTGACACAACAAGAAAAGGGTTTGAAGCAAACTACAAAATAACCACTTTTTTTTTTTCAGTGCGAAGGGCTCTGGCAAAATTACCATTCAAGGTCGGCACAAACTGCTGAGCAAGAAACCAACCTAAATGCAAGAACTTATTTTGTGATTTTTTTTTTTCATAAAATGTAATTCACTCAAAATTTTAATATTTTTACTGTAGTCTGTCCTGCAGATTTTTTTCCCCCAACATTTTTTCATATCTGGGATTTTTCTTTCCCCCCACGTTCGGCGATTTGGGAAATGGGAAATACATAAAAGGATGGAGGAAATTGGTTATGATCGTACCTTACAGTCGCCATTGAGAGCGTTGTGTCCGCCCTCCCGGTCCCTCTTCCTCTCGTCAGACTGCCGCTTGAGGCCACGCACCGACATGTGGCGAATGACCGCCGACGCCTCCTTGGGCAGCGGCGGCACAGCGGGCGGCGTCTCCTCGTAGTCGTACAGGCGAGGGAGCGGAGGTCGGGGCGGAGCGTCATCCTCTGCCTTGGAGTCCACATAAGGAACAAGAATAGTTGAAATCAGTCAAGAACTGTCGATAGCAGAATTGAATGCGTCAAACAACACTCAATTTGGAAATTTTCGGTCGGCGACGAATGCTTTTTTAAAAATCAATCTGTTGGTGAATCAATGAATTAGATTTTAAAAAATCCTAAAGATTAGGCGATTCTTAAAAAAAATAGTTGTCTATGGGTTAATCGGTGCACAGCTAGGGAATTTTATTGTTGACATTTTGGTAATGTCCCTACTCTGGCTGGTCAAAGCAGGAGTGAACAAGCACTACTAATGCCGCTAACTTCTCAGACCCGACGAGGCAGAGCTTGACTTACCCACTTTGGCACAAAGTTGGGAGGCAGAGTTTGCGAAAAGACGCTCGGAACAGAACTACGAGGTGGAGGATGGATGTCGGCACTCGAAGAAGGCACGCTGGGCTCTGACACGGAAGGCACTAACTTCCTCTCTGTGAGCAAGTCAACAAGGAATGTCAAAGGAATTACACAGACATGTACATTTATAAAACAACAGTCAAAGAATTTGAAAGACAAATAAAAAAAACAAAAAAATGGAATTTTTTTTATTTAATTTATTTAAAGGGAATTCTCAATAAATGTTTTTTAAAATGTGCGTTTTTTAAGACATTTAAAATGTGCCCAAAAAAAAAATCCAAAGTAAATTTGGAGAAAATATGTGATTTCAAAATAATAAAAAAATGGAACAATTGAAAAATATATTCATAAAATTGAAAATAAATTTGTAAATGCTTGTAAGATGTCAAACAAAAAGTAGAAATAAGTAAATGATTTTATAGGAAAACCAACCTGGGTTCTGCACAGAAGCGATGGTAACTTTGTAGTTGGCTTTGCTGCCACTCAGTCCCGCCATCACATCCTCGATCCTCCACAGCTCGCGCTTCATCTCGCCCTTTTCTTGCTGCGTTGTCGCACGTGCGCACACAACACCAGAGTTGACGAGTGTCAATTCATTCCTATCCTGATGCAGTACCGGTCCTCACCTGTGGGGTAGCGTTGTGGTTCATGCGGGCCTGCAGCGCCGCCCTCAGCTGCTCCACCGAATCCTCCAGCCAGCCGTACTCGTCCCAGGCATGCGTCATTTCCTGCGGCATATCATAGCAACGGAAAAAAGTATTGAGTTCCGCAAAGCAAGGTCTATACGGGCAGGTTTGGAAAAGAAACTGAAGACGACGACTAAAATGATTCAAAAGATTACATTTTATGTAAATGACATGAAATGAATTCAAAAGCACTAGTCAAAAGAAACCCTAAAGATTTTTACAAAATAAATAAATTTAAAAGAAAATTCTTTTGAAAATGTGTTTACAGGATATTTTACATGTTTTAAAGAATTCTTATTTACAATAAATTGTTAAAAAGTAAAAAAACACAAATATTTTCAAAAATATATACATTAGGGGAGGAAGAAATATAAAAATGTTCGTTTAAAACTAGTTTAAAATTCAATTTCGAAATATATAAAAATGAATTTTAAAAGGCAGTTAAAATGTAAACTGCCATTCAAGAGCTAATGTGAAAAGTAATGCAGACTATTTAAGAGGAACAAAATCATAAATGAAAACAATTCAACCCATTTAAACAAATGAACAAAATGCACACAAAGTCAAAAAAATTAAAGTATTTAAAAACCGTAAACGCAATTTAAAATTAAATGGACAAGTAATTTGTAAATATCTTGAAAAGGAGAGTCAAAACTGTCAGAAAGGGTTGCGATGGTAGCTACTCAGGAAGGCATAAAAAGGAACGCTGACATGAGTTTTGCATGACAGAACAAAACCCCATCAAACATTTATTTGTACCGTGGATAGTCGGGATATCTGGGCCCTGATGGAGACCAGGTCCTCCTGAAGAAGTCTCTGCTGGTAAGCGATTTTGTGCGCGTGGGCCGGCTGCTCATGGAAGAGCTCCATTTGCTGGTGGGACACGTCCAGCACGCTCTCCAGCTTGTCCTGAAAGTTGCGCCGTGTCATTTACATTCGTTCGTTTGTATGGCAGCTGCGCGACAACACGCCTTCTTCACCTTATCCTTTTTCAACGAGCTGATCCGCACTTCCAAGTCCTTCAGGATCTTGTCTTGCTCACATAGCCGACTCAGCTTCACCTGCAGAGGGCGGTAAATATTATTTGAGTTAAAAATCTGAGTCCCGAACAGCCAGGATGGGTAAATTTAGTTTGACACATGATCTTACTTCTCCAACCAAGTAGAAAAATAGGTTTTGGCTGGCATCGTTTAATTATCTGACTGCAGGGTCCCGCGGTGGCAACATCCCGCCTTCGCTGTATTGTATGTCAAATGTAAAGACGGATAACCACTGAGACTCATATTAAGGTCATTTGCACAAAGTGGATGCGTCGAGCCGACACCTTGAATTACAGTCAGCGAGGCAATGCGTCCCATTAATAAAAGTGTGATTACACCGAAGCAAAGGTTTCTTCACTTTATCAAGCCCGAACATTTGTGTCATACTGTTGGGCCGAGAAAAAAAAAAAATTGCTCCCATGTGTCGGAACTTGAACTGGTCACCAGATGAATAATTGATTCTGCTTTTTTGATGTGATCCACGGTGCCGCCGTTGAATGTCATCCGCGTATCTATTTTATACTCATAAATATAGAGATACAAACGCAGCAAGGCTCATGTTTCATTAACAGTCAGAGAGTTCTCCGCTTATAATTTGTGTGTGCTATTTAATTACAAAGAAAGAACTTCACATACCTCAAGATCAAATTCAATTTGTGTTGTGAATCAGTCATATAAGGTGAAGAGAAATCGTACTAGTTAAACTGTGAATCAAAGTCGGTCGGACAAGTTATAAGGTGACTTATGCGGTCAACCAAAGTTGTACTCATAATAAAGTGAATTAATGTCATACTAGTGCAAGAGGAAATATATTCCAACAGTCAAATCACTTTTCAACGTACACCGTTTACGTTTTCACCCCGAAAATGTTCAGATTTTAAAGTCATATAGTTGATTTTGCCGAATTTGCTGACAACAAACACCCTTATAACGTAAACTTGAACTTGTTGGACGGTGAACTGAAATCAACTTGTAATATTGTGAATTCCACTCACGTCCACGTCACTCTCTGCGACCTTGACCGGCTTTCCCGACGCCTTCAGAGTTTGACTTCCGGCCACCTGAAAATGATCAATCCACATTTCATACGTCTTCCTCAAAAGTACGGAACATAAAATGGTGCGGAAACGACACAGACTGAACGGAGACTGCAATGCTGTGACGCAACCTCGCGTGCATGACGGCGACGACAACAAAGAAAATGTATCACATCGGCTGTTGCCATGGAGACCACAATGGACGTTTGAAGCCCTGCCCAAGTGGACACACCCAGAGAAATCTCAATGCCTCAAACGGAGCGTTTCATTTTCATCCAATTGAGTGACTGTGTTAGCATAGCTCGCTAATACCATTAGCTAATGAGGGGTGGGCACTTTTTCATGGCGGCTCGTATGGGAAGTAAATTAACTTATGGAATTGAAAAGTATGAGTTACAATATGTGGTCCTGGAAGATAACACTTGCGCTTGTAATTCTACTTGTTTCAGTTACAATTATCATTTGCAACCCGTTGAGGCACGAAGTTACGAAGGCTTGGTTCAAATATAACAGTGTGCTGGTTATAGTTAAGTCTTCAGATCTATCCATTATTCCAATGGAGCAAATTTGGTGGAAAAACCCAAAACAGCATGTACTTTTAGTGATCATGTGCAACCCGTTGAGACAGAAAACTACTTGAAATCAAATTATGACGCCCTTTGTTGATTCAAAAGTATTTTGTGGCTGAAAAGATGAGAGTGGCCAGAATTTAACATGCTTGCATGGAGCCCATTTAGCCAGTTGATTTTTTGGGGCCCAGATTATTGAACCGGAATGAGCAGCATATAGAACGTGCACTTTTAAACAATTCAATTCCGCAACATCAATTAAGTTCTTAATAGCATTTTTTTTTTCCTTGCGCACTGATTTTTTTTTTTGGGAGGGGCAGCCTGTTTTGGCAGCTTATAAATTGGGCCTGAGTGGAGAGTATGAGCACGGCATGTTGCTGTTAACGACCACATAACTTTGTACTTCTGTATTTTGATCTATTACGTGACCAAGAAAATCCTTCATGTAAAAAAACAAAAAAAAGACAGATAAACTTAAAGGCAGCCCGGTGGGCCAGTGTTAGCGCATTGGCCTCACAGTGCAGAGGTGCAGGGGTTCGATTCCGGTCCCTGTGTGGAGTTTGCATGTCCTCCACGGGCCTGCACGGGTTTTCTCCGGGTTCTCCGGTTTCCTCCCACATTCCAAAAACAGGCACTGCAGGTTGATGGAACATTCTAAATAGTCCCGAGGTGTGAGTGTGAGCGCGGATGGTTGTTCGTCTCTGTGTAGCCTGCGATTGGCTGGCAACCAGTTCAGGGTGTACCCCGCCTACTCCCCGATGACGGCTGGGACAGGCTCAAGCACCCCCTCGTGAGAATAAAGCGGATTGGAAAATTGATGGATGGATGGATGGATGGATAAAATTAAAATTGATCACACCCGTCCAACCAATGTCAGTTATCAATCAGGTCTTCTGATTCCACAACAGAAAGCCCTGCACCATGGCAACACAAGATGCAGCATTTCAGAGATGGCGCTAAAAGCAACTGGCTTATTTTCCACCACTGAGCGAGCCACAGCCACAACACATGCACTGCCGAGCCGTCCCATGCCCACTTCGTGACGCCGGCGTTTTTCTACATCACTACGTTGTCTACGTGTGTGTGTGTGTGCGTGTGCGTGTGTGTGTGTGTGTGTGTGTGTGTGTGTGTTGCAATGAGTGGGAGGGGCAGAGGGGCGGGGGGGACAAATGGCGGCAAGACACGTGATGCTGTTCAAGAGTCAATTGAACAGTCGCCTTCACATGCACGAGCACGCTGGATATGGAAGGAAACTCGCCCACACACACACACACGCACGCACGCACGCACGCACGCACGCGCACACACACGGAGCTTACGGTCAATAGCGGCCTGAGAGGCCCAGCAGTGCAGTGCAGTAGCAAACTGTGAACTGCGAGGATCAGGGGCTCTAGAGCTCTGATCTGCCGAGTCAAGAAAAGAGCTGCAGTCACGTGATGGCGGCCGCCTCTGGTTAAAAGACTCCGATTATTCATGTTATTGTCATGATCATTTGTGAGCTGAGTGGTTGCATCGATAAGTTGGAAGGGGGCGAGTGACGCGCTGGGCTCACATGGGTTCACATGCGTCGGGGTTGGAAAGAAAGTCAACCAACAGACAATCAAAAGGTCTGACCTTGAGGTCCAAATAGTCCAGGTCCTCCTTCAGTTGCTTGTACGTGTCGTCCACCTGCCACCCAAGAAACAATTTTAATTGACTATCATGGATATGAAATGGACAATTCTGTGTGAATGCTGAGAGACAATGTCGCCATGTCAAAATGGCAAAGTAGATCACTAATATTTTCATATATTGACTGGTTAAGTATCCATGGGAATATGGTTGATAGACTTATTTATTTCAGTAGCTTAATTAAAAAAAGAGAAACTCATCCAGATTCATGAAACACATGCCCCCACTCCGACCTGATTCCTTCAGTCGTTGTGCTTTTTTCTCGCGTATGATGTCATCGTGACTTTCAGAGCCAATTTGGTTAGCTGTAAACTAATTAAAATTGTTTTAAAAAATCTTTTTAAAAACTGTGTACAGTGCTGAACGGTAATGTGTCTTACATTATATACATTTCACTTCTTCCATTGAACTACTGAAATAAATGAACTTTTCCACAAAATATTTTGAGCATGGTTATCTACGTAAATCGGCACGTCACTACAAATCACTATCATCTCGCGAATTATTGTCTACAACTTTTTTTTCCCCCCCAAATCTAATTTAAAATGGGTTTGATGCCGCTGGCAGTCAAATGACTCATTTGTAAACCAAATCAATACATTTCGCTGCAACGTTTTTGGGTCCGCCTTGCATATTTCCAATTCCCCCCAGCAATCTCAAACAAATGTTCAGTATTTTTTAGCGAGTCAAGATTGCAGACCACAGATCAGATCACAGTCATAAGATGATTGATAGATTTTTGGGTTTTTTTTGCAGGTGTTCCCATAACATCACCAGCCAATGAAAAAAAAAACAAAAACGAGCACCTCCCACAAACCCAAACACCCACTCCGCAACCCCAATGTTATAGGAAAACATGTTCCTTCAATCACGTTGGAATCCACTGAGCGACATTGCATTCATTAGGAGAGAAATGCGTGTCTCAGCAGTCACATTCAATTCAAGTAATATTCACACGGATCACGAGAATTTTTCAGCCCATCTTATCTTTGCGCAGAAGCGTCGTTCCTGTCACGACCACAACGCTAACAACACAGACCAATGAAAACATCGTCAGCCCACGATCCAGCCAGCGCCACTTCCACAGCCAGCAAAGCAGCCAAAGCGCACAGCAGCCAAGGAAGCGACATAATACGTGACCAAAAAAAAAAAAAAAAACACACACATAAGCCAAACAGCCAAGAGCACAACACGCTGCTTCCTCTTAGTACTTGTGAGCCCGTCCCAAGATGACTGATGAGGATTTTGAGGTAGAGGCTGCCACTAAATACAATGCTGACTGACAATGATCTCCTATGCTATCTGCTGAGCCCTCGGTGGTTTGTTTTTCATTTTTCCAGTACTTTTTAAACGTTATTTTTTTCACTATGATCACCTTTTTGTGGAAAACGCATATTCAATGTATTTTTTTTTCGATTTCAAACGTATTCAATGGATGTCAATTATGCATCGATTTTTGCTATACACGGGCCGCCCCAGTTCCTCTAGCGAGGGTCCACTGTCGTCATTTTGAAAACACACACCCCGAATTGTTGCTTCTTCAGAACGCCGGAGTTCTTGCCCTGGTCACTATGGTAACAAAAGCCACATTTATCAAATACATGTTGGAAGAAAAGACCGCTTTCCTAGGGGCAACCTCTACCGGGCCTCGCCATGATGAAGGCGGCGGGGTGGGCCGCCCACCTGGGTTTCGCCCAACAGGTGGGATAGGGTAGGAGCGGGGCCGACGCTGAGGAGGGGGCCGGCGGTCGACAAGCCGTGGCGCTGCAGCTGCTCCAGCGTGTGCTGGCGGACGGCCGCCATCTTGGCCTGCTGCCGGCGCAGCTGAATGAGCAGCAGGGTGAGCTCATCGGGCTGTCCGCCGGCATCATTTTGACCACACACACAAACACACACCGGTAATTTGAAACCGTGGCTTTAAGCCATCAATTGAAACATTGACAAATACCAATTTGAAATTCCAGCCCTTATTTTAACTCTTCTATCCCTCATTTGAAACCCTATTTCGAAACCGTAACCCTGGCTTGAACCACCCAATTGGAAATGCAAAACTGTTTGCAACCCTAACCCGGACTTCAAGTGCGAAAAAACCCCAAACTTAATTTGAAACCCCAATCTCTGTCTTGAAACCCTAATTTGAATCCCCAACCCTGGCTAGAAGCGCTCCTCTGAAACCCTTACCCTTCTTTCAAACTGTAATTTCGCTTTAAAACCATCACTTGAACCCTAAAACTGACTGGAAAGCTACAACCTTGTTTGAAACCCAAACCAAAGGATTAAAGCCCTAATTTGAAACAGTAACACTTTTTTTTTTTGGCAATACTGCCCCAGTCTTGCATAAAAGTACCAGTTAGAGGATTAGTATGACATGACAGTTAACAACAGAGAGCAGCAGTCATGGAAATATTTGCATCTACAATATTGGTTGTTAAATGGATAGAGATTTTCTTTTTTTTTTTTTTCTTTTTTGAAAGGCATTTTAGCCGAGTCAGACGTACCGTTTTGCCGTGGAGGCTGGGCGCACTGACCGTGTGTGTCATGTAGTTGGATGGAGGCAAAGAGCGTCTGTCCATCGTGGATGCCTGCAGCACACAAAGCCTGTTTCAGTACAATTTCTAGACTAATATACAGGATGAAGTACTGAACACAGGCGTGAGTACTCTCACAGGCTGTGTGACTGTTCGTACGCGAGGAACTGAAACGATGATTGCGCTCAGCGGAGCAAACTTTGCAGTGTCCCAATGACTGACAAGGATAAGTGCGACTGAATGGTGGCGCAACTAATGAATCCAAGGTGACAAACTCCTGACAGCAAACAAGTGTCAACAATTCACATCATTTCTTGGATAAATGATGCTTGCTTCCAAACCGATTTTGAAACCTTAACACTAAACCTGGCATGAAACCGTAGCCCAGGTTTAAAAACCTAATTCATGATGATGATGATGATGATGATGATTTTACCTTGAAGACCTGCGACATGGTCCTGCGAGGTGAAATGGCAAACATTGTGTCCGCCGCCGACGCATCAGCCGAGGGTCTCACTGTCACGCGGCCGACCGGCGTGTGTGGGCGGCGGGCGGGCGACAAGGTTCTGCTCGTGCCCGGCGGAGGCCCCGGCGGCGGGATGTCCGCGGGCGAGGGCGGTACGGACACACAGCGTGGCGGCCCGTTGTGTTTGGCGGCGGGAGGAAGGGCGGATGGTGGACGGGCGCCAAAAGGGTAGTCCGGGGCGGGCGTATAGAGGGGCGCCGTGGGGCTGCCGTGGCGGTACTGCTGACGTTGCTGCCACTCGTACAACTGCAGCACCGTGTTGGAACCCGGGCCGCCCAGATCGGGGGTGAGGCGGAAGTGGCTCATGCGGTCCTGGGCATACTTGTACTCGCCGAGGCGTGCCAGCGGGGGGCTGTGGTGAGGGGTCTTCGGCCGGGTCTGGTGTGAATCCAGAGTGCCGAACTTGGGTTGGCAGGGCGGCGTTCTGCGGGGGAGGGTGCTGTCTCGGGATGGAGGACTGTCGTAAAACAATGCATAACAAGTGTCATTTTACTAAAACTTTGAGGGGGAAAAAATGTGTTTAATTTTCAAATAGAGCTGTAGCATGAAATGTCAGAAAAGTGAGGCACTAAGTATTTTCCCACATATAAGGTATCCAATTAGTCAGAGTCTAGTCAATTTCACGACAAGTTTTAAGCTTCAAGTCATATATTCGCGCAAGTGGTTTTGGCATCTCGTGTTCCAGTTGGCCAATTTCCAAAGGACGAGTAATTAGCCCTGGCAAAATGTATTTAAATTAGGCTTACACTAAAATAAAGGCATATGAACCATGAACTAATATCTACAGTTTATCTACTTCAATTAGTTGTTAACTTGCTAACACTTTTACTTGCAGTCTGTAAAGCATTCACTACTTGCTTAAAGAACTCTGACGATACTTTCATTACGTTACAATCAAGTGCCAAAAACATTGTCTTCAATACTTGCTTTGTATGTTCACAAAGCTTGGTATCATATCTGTCACTTACCCTTTGTGCTCGGCTTTCTGCACCTTGACCCACTGCTCCACTTGTCCCAGAGTACTCCTCCTCCTCATTTCCAGAGGGGCTTCCGGGACCCTCTGATACGTCCCCGCCGCAATCCCGTTAGGCTCCAAGATGGGGCTGGGCGTTTCCACCAGGCCATTCCTGGCGCTGACGCCCGTGGGCAGCGTGGAGGCGGACCGCGAGGGTGCTCGAGACGGCACCCTGGACACGGGCGCCGACGAGGACGCATGGTCTGGAGGCGGGACGGCGGCAGCCGTGGGGTTGGTGGGGAGGGAGGTGTGCGTGTCCATCTCCGTGGCAACGGGAGAGTCTTTGTGGAAGCTGTGGCGGTCGTCCGGCTGGTGATGTATGGGCTCCAGGAGAACCTCGTGGACGGCGGGTCTCTGGGGTTCCGGAGCCTTGTGGTTGTTGACGTGGTTGGTGGTCTGATGACGTATCATGTGGAAGTGAGCCGACTGCTCAGATGGTCTGAGGAGAGTCAAGAGTCAAATTTGAAAACCCTAATTCGGGTTTGAAAGTTGAATTTGGAATCCTAAACCTGAATTGAAACCCTACCTTGAAGCCCTATCTATGATGTAAAACAAATTAAAACCCAAGCTTCAAACCTTAATTTGGAACCCAGGCGAGAAACCTGAACAATGGATTCAAACCCAAAACAGAAGCCCTAAATCTGTCTTGAAACAGTAATTTCGAAACCTAATACTAAGCACAAACCCTAATTCTGAACTCTATTCATTATTTACAACCCTAATTTGAAACTCTAATCCTGACTTGAAATCCTGGATTGAAACTCTGGCTCAATACCCTAATTTGAAATCATAACCCAAGTTAGAAACCTGTACAGTACACACGTGACATCCAAGCAAGGAAAGAACAAGTTTCAATGGCAAGATGACACTATCATTTCAAGTCATTTGTACCTTAGGTCGAAATGCAGCATCTGAAAGCTTTACCGGGATTTTCATTTGAGTGTGTGAGGGCAGCCGATGTGTTTGTAAATGTGCTTGTGTGTGTATCTTGCTGTGCTTTTGTGTGTGGGTGTGTGAGTTGTTGTACTGCTGCTGTCTTTTTGCCAAGAACACTTTGTAATTAATTTGGTCCGACCTGACTGTTTGGGGACCCGCTTAACGGGCAATTTAAAGCTCCACCGCTTGCGTTCAGAAGTGACATTGGAGGGTAAAGTGAGGGTCAAACAGAACTACCGCTTGCCCCGAAAGTCAAACTATTCGGAGTTCAACCAAATTCGCTTCAAAAAAAAAAA